TCATTTTAAGAAAAGCATATGGCTAGTATCCACACAAAATTCTCTATCTTTCAGCATTTATAACGATGTTTTCTCGTCATGTGTAACTAACTTGAAAAAAATCATTGCAAAAACCAATAATTTAACCTCCCGTACCCGCTGGTAAGATTTTCAACATGCATTACCTGCATTCTGTTATTCCCCCAATCGGATACAAAAATCATGCCGTGTTCATTATCAGTGGTTAACCCCGTTGGACCTTGGAATTGGCCTTGTTTAGTTCCATTTGAACCGAATGTGGATAAAACTTGTCCAATATTGATATCGAATATTTTAACACAACTATTATAAAAATCGGTGACAATTATATTATCGTCCTTGTAGATTGAATGAAATGCAGCGTAATGTGGACCTGCAATTTGATGATTTTCAGGACCATGAGTACCGAAACGATGCGAAAATTTTCCGTTTGAATGAAATAAACATATAGAATTAGCTTTGTTGTCGACGACAGCAATTATACCCGAATGAGACGACAAAACAACACCTTTTGGTCCAACTAATTGTTGTTCGCCGAATCGCCGAATAAGCTGACCATCAATCTGCAAAACACCGATGCACCGTTGATCATAATCGGCTACGAGAATAGTTCCATCTGGACTAGAAGCAAGACCAATCGGCCGTCTAAGGCCTCGAATTGGGTGTTTTTTATCGAATAGAAGAGATTTTAAATTACCCGTCTCAATATCAAATAGTTGTACACATTGATTTATACTGTCTGAAACGAGTAATGAATTATTATCATAAAAACAAACATCTTGTGGATTTGAAAACTGTCCTATTCCTCTTCCATTTTCACCAAATTTTTTAAAAAGACAACCTGGTGTTGAAACATCAAATGCATCATCATTGACTATTATGTGTTTTTTGGAAAACCGAAATTCGTCATCACTCAACATATTCAAACTTTGTCTCGATGATGAATAAGAACTTTTTTTTGATAATGATGTATTTGATTTTGATTTTGTAAGATTCTTTATTTTTGTATAGGAGACGGGTGGCGTTAACGAAACTTTATTTAGATTACGTTTGTCCGTCAGTTGTGATGGATAAACTCGTACATATATTATAGTTTTGATTTTGTCTTCATTTAAAAACAATAATAATCGATAGGCACCATGTTTATATAGTCGAATAATAATGTTAAATAAATTTGATGATAATTGGACAAGTTTTATGAAACTAAAAAAGTGTTTATAGAAAGATGTATCATGTAAGTTTGCCATTCTCTGGGGATGATGGTTGAATCTTCGATCATGGAATTAGATTGAAAAGAGTACGGAAAATAATTTGTTAAAGAACGGAACCTCTGACGATTGAAAAGAGAATGGTAAAATCATATGTACCAAAAATGTTTTCTAGCAGTAGATTCATCCGTTTCAATGTTTGCGATATAAGCACGCTGAGAAAATCACAGAAAAAAGCAGTTTATCAGTTCATCAGTCCTTGTTTACTTTATCATCCACTTCACTTTCTCACTTGTGATCACGTAAGCTTTGTAGCCACCGCTTTTTTTTAACAATATCACGTACAGGACTGGGTACACAATTTGATGATGTACGATTGTTGTGATTGTGTTGACTCGATTTACTAACAGTAATCATATTCAATCCATTGACCAATGCCCCGAATCTGATAATCACAATCAGGATACTTCTTATATGATGAACATCTATGAGCCCATTTTGTTCCATTGAATGTTTTCTTTGCACGAAACTTTTATACAGAATTTTGTTTTAAATACTCATTTAACATTTGAATGTTTGTAAAAATTTCCATCGTAATGTCATGTTTTGCGTGACATGTTTAGAACAGTGATGATTGCATTATAACAATCCAAATGCCTATTTAGATGTCAAAAAAACTGTTTCATTTTCGCATCACATAAATACCTGGATCTTTCGATACAACTGTGAATTTCAATCTTTAACTTATTCTTCAGCATGACAAAAACAACTTCAGACTGTATAACCCGTTCTCTTTTCAATCCTCAGAGACTCCATTCTTTAATAAATTATTTTCCATTTTCCAAAAAATTAGAACCGTACTCTTTTCAATCTAATCGCGTGCTTAGAAAAACTCTACTCCGCTACCTCATTATTCACTCAGGTAGGAACTTTATTTTACTTTTTTTTCTCTTCTCTCTCTCTCACTTTCTCGCTCTACCTGTGTGATGATGATATTGATGTTAAATCATTATCGAGAAATTCCAATTTAACACGAAACCCATATCGATTATCGTTTTTTATTGATGACGACAATGCTGAAGGCAAACGCATCGTACTGCAAGGCTGTTCATTTCCAATGCTGATGTAAATATGACATTCACTATTTTCAACCATGTCAATTTGAACATTGGTATCATTATTAATGTTACTATTGACTGAATAAGAATGATAATCAATTTCGATAAGATTATTTTGATTGATGATAGCGGAAGAATGAGATAAAAAATCATTTTTATTTCGAACGCTTGCACCATGTACATAGTAAAGACGTAATATTTGATCATCATCATCATTTTTAGAAGAGTCATTCATTGTCAATTTCTTAATTGCATTGGCATAAATTGGAATTTTTTATGTCTATAAATTGAGATATATTAGAATTTAGTCAAGTATCATGAACTGAAACTAGAAAAAAAGAGCAGGAATCGAGAAGTTAATACCTCTATGACTGAAATATGATTATTTTCCACGTAATAGCCTATTTATATTTAATATTGAACTTTTCTAAGATGTACTTCATATATTAAAGATAGACCTCTTATCATTCTATCTGACGTTAGACATGCATCAGTTATATAACTGGTACTACAAATTGTAAGAAACTTTTTATAGTCGGTTTATTAACAATCGTTCTATGTCTCATTTTGTAGAGAAAATGTTCAGACGACAAGTTTGTAGACATATAAACATACAAAATACGATAACTGTCCATGATAACTGATGCATCAGTTTTCAACTGTTTACACTACTTTACTAAATCATTCAAATGTGTCTCTTTTATTTTTTTTCTCTTTTTTCCCGACTAAACATAGTTGCATAGAGCGAATATTTCTCTTGCGAGTAAGATGTTTTACAGAGTGTATTCCAAAAAAAACTATGTTCATTTTGCTTAGAGGTAAAAAAAACGTCGATTCCATAACTTATACATATCTAGCTAACGTATACCGCTATAGAACATGTCTATTAAAAAAAGCTACTGGTTTGTTTGTTAACAAGTTTTCGAGAAAACAACTACTATCAGTCTATGGAATGTGAACTAAAAAAACTATCTAAAATTTGCAAGAGTGAGAGATTCTAAACACAAACTACGGACACGACCAAGGCAAAAAAGAAACATGGCTCCAACAAGATCTACTTGAGAGTCATAAAATTATTAGGAAAAAGGTAAATCTAATAATTATTAGGTTCAATTGAGGAAAAAAAAGTAGAATATAGCATCAATTATTCTTGCTGAAGACAAAATGAAATGGGTACGAGCTATTGTTTTTAAGATTATCTAGTAGTTCAAAAACAAAATTGAGAAAACAAATCTTTCTCAGAAGTTTCTATAAAGAAGTATAGAAAGAATCTTACCCCTGAATTAGTCAGTGGTAAATTAATTACCTGAATTAGTCAGTGGTCAGTGGTGGTACGTAAGAAAATTAAATAAATAAAATAATATTTAAGATTTAGATAACTGTTCGTTAATCAATATTGATAGAATGAGTCTTACGGGAGATAATAAATTTTATTTATGATAAAATTACATAAACAAACCCACCTTTGTATTTTTTCTTTTCGTCGTTTGAAAAAAAAATTATTTTTGTCTATCTAATGGCACATTTTTCCGTTTATAGTTCTATGTCAAAGCTGTTTCTTCACAGAGTGTACTGATGACAAAAACTATATAGTCGATTCTTGTCATTCACTTTCATTTTCTTGTTCTCTGTGATCTATTTTCTTTTCCTAATCGGCGTTCAAATAAGTTTGATCTTTTTTTTCTTTCTATTTAAAAATCTAATTTTGCAAACAAAAAAAAAAAAATTCTTCCTCACACATTTCTAGAGCAGAACGGTTAAAATATATTTAGACTTCTTTAAGATATTCTTAGTTTACAATCTGATATACGATATTTCGTGTACATTGAACAACTTACCGATTGTTGATTAAAAAACAGAAATGAAAAGGATGTACATCAATTGTGTAATATTTATAGATCAAGGATTTTGTTTTTTAATCGAAAACATTTAATGATTTGTGTGCTATTAACGATGTGTAACAATAAAACATGTATAAAATGTATGAATATTGAGTGAGAAATGCGCCATATGTGTGATAGAATAAAAAAAGAGCAGAGAAACAGCAACAAACAACAACATTTGTACCATGAAAAAAAAAATAGAAAAATCGAATATTATATTTTGAGTTTCAAAAAAGAAAATTGAGAATTCAGGATCGATCGAATTATATATGATCATCAAACTGTTAGAATAAGTATCATCATTTATCAAATATTTTTGGATTCATCAATACTCATCAAACAAATGATTATCGGAAAAACTTATTTCGACAGAGTGCAAACCACAAAAAATACATTTATAATATCTAATAAGTTTCCATTCAACATAGTTTGATGAATATCATTGTACTCATTCAATCAGGATAAAACTGACTTTATCGTGCCTTATTTTTACCAGTCTATTAATATACAAACACTTTTCGACCATGTTGGCTTGAACTTTGTTTTATATGTATGAAATGTATACATTACTGTAGAAAAGTAGTGTACCTTCGTAAACTCATGCGTCATGATACTACCGTAGCGATTGTGTATATATAGCAGATGCTGTCATTCAGCAAATTTCAATTTCTTTAACTGGATGGTTCAGATACATGCGACTTTTTTCCAGTAAAAAGTAATTCCTACTCCATGAGTTCTTCACCAGAATGCGGCAGTGTTCATAGTTCATAGGATGGAACGAAGGATGGACTCTACTATATCTTTTGCGCTAAATGTACAGCATAATTATGCTAAACTATCATGGAAATCTACAGCAAAAAATAAGTGAATAAAACATTTTCAATAAGGTTTGATGTATTGCTATTGACTGACTAATGTCTCATTATTTTAAATCAAATGAGTACAAACAATGCTAGAAGATTATTGCATGGAAACTTTCACTAAAAAACAACTATAACTACACAAGCTTCTATATCTAATGCTCTTCACTCAACTTAAGAAAGTTCTCACTGCATCAAGACACATTCTATGATCAAAAAGTTTAATGAACATAAGTAATTCGTAAACTATGAATTTTCCTAAAGTTAACTGACAATTATAAGGTAACTGTGGTTCAATAACCCTTGACAATCAAGACATTAAATTTATGCCATAGATAGAAGAGTAATAAATTTTGAACAAATTAATTATATGAATTCAACAATCATTATTTTAAAATATGATACAGTTGTGATCATCAACATTTACATGAATAACACATACAGCATATATATTCGTTCGTCCATCTTTTCTTCATTGTTGCCCTCCTTTTCTCTATCGTGATAGATATTTCTATGAACTATGAACACTCCTACATTCTGGTGAAGAACTCTTGGATTACGAGTTATTAACATTTTACTGAAAAAAAATCGCCTGTTTATGAACCATCTACGTGGGTATTACTAAAAGACACAAACATCCACAAATTAAAATCTGAGTTAGCCAATCGATAGAGTTTGTCGAGCTGAGTATAGCAACGCCTAGTGAATACCCAAAAAAAGGTTTTATAGTTTCGCTTTCTAAGCATACATTTTCAATGAACATCCCAAAGAAAGGGTAAGAATACCCAAAAAAGTATGCCAAATTCATCTCCAGGTTGTTCTGAGCCTACCGCTACCGTTTTCAATTCGAACAAAAAATCGCGTTGAAAAAGGTACCAGTAGGCTCAGAACAACCAAAGGATCAATTAGGCTCACT